AGGAATGTGTTACAGGTGCAGCTACTCAGGTGGCAAACATCTGCCCCTTGCTTTGCTCCTTCCAGTAGTTCCTGGTAGCTTATAAAATAATCATACTTGGAGTAAAAACAGCTCCATTTTCATGCTGAAGCCCTGAATGATGCAAATGCATCCTAGAACACTCGCAGGAAAGTTTTCATTCACTCCAGCTTTCACGGGTACAGGGAAATGCCTGACATTTCTAGTAAAACACAGGCCACCCTTTTACACCACATGTTCAGCACTTGTATACAAGCTCCATAACACCTAAATAGGTAGTAAGCATTTTTAAATTTTTTTTCCCCTAAAAACCTTCAGAAAACAGCATTGCAAGAGCTACAGGCTAATTATATTTCTGATGTGTGTGTTTTAATCACAGTATTTTTAATGAAACTTACGGTACAAAACACAGGTCTGTTTAACAACTGTGATTCGTTCAAGCTGCCGAAAGACTGAACCATCACAAACCACTGCAACATGGGGCAGGGGAGGGAAACACAGGTCACCAGCTCTCAGCTTAGCAGATCAGACAGCTCCAAATAGTCGCAGTCATCGATGACCGGAAGGGATGGTGCCACCACTGACCAAGTTCCCCACAACAGGCAAAACTGGCATTTTAACCCCAGAACCTGCAGTCCACACTTACCACACCTCAAAGCTACTAAAAATTTCCCAGTAATAAGGAATATTCACTTGTAGTGAAAAAAGGACAAAAATCTTCTATTAATGATCATGCCTTCCAACAGTTCACTCCAATTTTATAACAAATAATTTTATAACAATTAGTTAAGCATAAAATTTGACAATTTCAGATTAAATTGTTACAAGACAACTCCAGGTTTAGACTTCTGGGAGGTGGCTGGAACCAATAAAGACCATGAGCAAACCGAGATGGTCAGGAAGTTAACCCGCAAGAAAACCTACGAACTACACATCTTCCCCTAAAACTTTTTTTCTTTTCCCTTCAGACCTTCAGGCTAATAACAGAAACAACATGAGACCAGATGCTGCTCTGAGGAAACTTTTTGCCATGGAAAAGCTTTAATGCAAGTCCTGACCCAGCAACAAATGCCAACCATCACACGCCCACCATCAGGGACGACCAGGGCTTTTTCCTGCGTTGGTCTGCACTGCCCCACGTTTTAGAATCATAGAATCACAGAATGTTTTGGGTTGGAAGGGACCTTTAGAGGTCATCCAGCCCAATCCCCCTGCAGAGAGCAGGGACACGTTCAACTAGATCAGGTTGCTCAGAGCCCTGACCAACCTGGCCTTGAATGTTTACAGGGATGGGGCCTCCACTACCTCTCTGGGCAACCTGGTTCAGTGTTTCACCACCCTCATTGTAAAAAATTTCTTCCTTATATCCAGTCTAAATCTACGTGCCCTTAGTTTAAAGCCATTACTCCTTGTCCTGTCACAACAAGCCCTGCGGAAAATACTATCCTCATCCTTCCTGTAGGCCCCTTCAGGTACTGTAAGGCTGCTGTAAGCTCACCTCGGACCTTTCCCCTCGGCCCTTCTCTTCCCCAAGCTGAACAGCCCCAACTCCCTCAGCCTGTCCTCATAGCAGGGGTGCTCCAGCCCTTGAGCCATCTTTGTTGCCCTTTTCTGAACCCGGTCCAACACATCCATGTCCTTCTTGTACTGGGGGCTCCAGAGCTGGACGCAGGACCAAGGTGGGGTCTCACTTAAGAGCCCAGCAGAGGGGCAGAATCCCCTCCTTTGCCCTGCTGGCCACACTTCTCTTGATGCAGCCCAGGATACAAGCTTGCCTTCTGGGCTGTGAGCGTACACTGGTGGATCATGTCCAGCTTTTCATCCATCAGTACCCCCAAGTCCTTCTTGGTAGGGCAGCTCTTCATCCCTTCATCCCACAGCCTGTATGGATAGCAGGGGCTGCCCTGACCCAGCTGCAGGACCTTGCACTTGGCCTTGCTGAACCTCATGTGTTCTCTGCTCTTTCATAAACACCAGCCCTTCCCTGCCGCTTCGAACACCAGAACCTCCGGAGTTAAACTCGCCCCTTCCCTTGAAGAGGGAATTGGGCATCGCCGACTGGGAGACCCCTCGCCCCC